GAAAGAAAGAGAAAGAAAGAGAAAGAAAGAGAAAGAAAGAGAAAGAAAGAGAAAGAAAGAGAAAGAAAGAGAGAGAGAGAGAGAGTTAAGTTCACATCAGTCACAAACCGAAACTCGAAATCTCACTGCAAGTATGTCAGCACTGCACAGAAGGCAGAAGAGCCCTGTGTTGGTGAACACATGACACTCAAAACCTAGAGATTCTGAGTGAAATGCATCTGGAAAAACAGCTGCTGACAACAGTTCCTGTTGATTCCAAGCTGGGAGAGAAACACTACACTTTAACTTCAGATTTCTACTTTGTTTCCAGAAAAACAAAAGAAACTTTCAAACTGCTGTCAGTCTTTAAAACCAAAATTCTTTGAACACTGAAATACATTGCATGGGCTAAAAGCCAAATCCTATGATTGTTGATATCTTTACTGAAGATATATTTTATTTCTATTTACTATATTTCTCTTTTTACAGAATTTGATTAGTGCAAAGTTCAACACATAAAAGGAAACTCTTCTTCTGAATTTTAAATTTTGATTTTTAATTATTATACATCAGTAGCTGAAGAAGCTGCAGCTCAGCTGTTTATTGGCAAAGAACATTCCAACACAGTATTTGAACTTTAGCTTAGAAATTATTTTAGAAAATTCTAAGGAGAAAACAAGATCCATACTGCTCATAAAAGTCAGTTCTGTACACACCTGAATCTTCTTGTTTCCCCTCACCCACCCATACTTTACCATTTGTCCTCTTTAACAAATGTGGGAACAGTTCTTTTGGTTTTGTATCTTTTGGGGAATGTTTCCATTTTCACAACATGAATTGCTGAAGCTAAAAAATTAAAGCAAACTCACAAACAACCCAAATAAGGTGCAGAAAGAGGCGTTTCTGTTTCGTTTCACCTCTAATTCCTTATAAATAAATAAAGTAAAAAAAAATCAAGGTCTATAATTGCAGTAATTTCAGTTATTGAGTAGTATTTGGATACTTTTCTTAGTATGACCTATTGTTGTAACCAGCCAGTGTTAACAAACTGATTTCCAGTCAATGGAATAAAGCAGCTCAGAGTACACAAAATACTTATTTTGAGGAAACATACAAAAATCACAACTATTATATAAAGAACTCTGTTATAATTATATACAAAATAACTATCAAAGCATTTGGTTCATACAGTGCTGCTGCAAGTTATGGAATGAACTACTTGATCCAAGAGAGCCAGTGCTAGAAATGGGTGCCTGGGCAACCATCTCAAACCTGTCTGTTTGGGGACACAGAACAGCAGTTTGTGTTCATTAAGAAGTTGGAACCATAAGGTAAAAGGAAAGGAAGTTATACATCCAAAGGCAAACAAAAAAAGACTTCAACAGTGTTAAATTCCCTGCAATGTCCCATTAAACCACATTCAGAACATAAATGGCAGCTGCCTCCATCCCTCCACTCACAGAATTTTGTCTGCCCTCTCCAAAAGCTTCTTGGGACTTAGATGTCCATTTAGACACCTGCCCATCCCAAATTCCCAAAGTCAAGTGTGACGACTTCCTACTCCATCTCAGGTAAGAGTTTAAACTGGTGTCTTGAAGAGAAGGAATGTGCAGTTTGTGAACCCCAGGTCATCTGTTCCACATTCCTGCCAGCCCATAGTGAAATGTAACCACGTTTTGTACCAGGATAACCAAACTAACTCCACTCTACAGTGCAAAACCTGAAGTAATACTGTGATAGCTCTTGGAAAGGTGCCCACAAGTAATCCTTGTGTTAATACTTTAGACTTTGTATCTCAGTGTGCCACCCAGAAAATCTTACTCAGAAAAGGGTGCAAGCATCCACCCTGACCCAGTGCAAAAAAATTTCTGAGATTCTCAGAATTTCTGAGGTTCAAACACGGTCAGTTCCTTCCCATCATAGAACTCTCTCAGTTGGTTCAGCTCATATTTTATGGAGGGTTCCTCAATCTGCATCCCAGGCTCCAGAGCGTTCTGTCCGACTATTTTAAGATTCACGAGTTTTATTTTCCAGGTGTTATTCCTGACGGGGCAGTTGATGAGTCCAAAGATTTGCTCAAAGATGCCCAAACAAGTGTTGTCTCTGTGCACTGTGCCAGCCACTGCCACCAGCACCAAGCCATGAGGAGACATGGCATATTTGAGGCCATTGCCATGCAGGTTGGGGTTGAAGAGAAGACATTCCTCCTTCACCAAAGAGAGCAGCCGAAGGCTCACCATGTCTGCACCAACGTACTGTTCCATGTTCTTTTCCGAAGTGTTGTAGCAGAATTTCATTCTGGCATCCTCCCAGAAATGCTGTGGTCCCCACGTATCTTCAGATTTTACTCCCAAGGGATGTTGAGAGTTCAGGAGTTCAAAGTACCACTGACAGAATTGTCCTCCCAGACCACCAATGTCATCTTGTGGTGGCTTTCCTCCCTCTCCATGACTCTGCAATTAAGCAAAATTTTTTCTTAGAACTATTTAGCCTTAAAATGCAAAATTACCACTCAGAACATAAAATCATGCACGTACTTATTTTAAACATTCTAAGTATTCTTCAAGTGTTCTGTGACAGAGAAAGCTCAAAGTAAAATCTCATTTATTTTTAAGAACATGATTATCTTATATAGAGAACCTAGAGAGGTTCTTTGAATTAGAAGAGTGCTTCAGTTTTGTCTTGGTCTCCTTACAAACAAAGAGAAAAATCCTGGTTCCAGTGAAAAGGGGCAGGGGAATGATTTTCAACAATATCCATGAGACTAAGATTCTCATACTGAGACAAAGTTTCTGCTGAATAAAGTGTCCGGGTTAGTAACTTTTTGTTGTCCTTTACATTTCCAAAAGAATGTTCCAGACCCAACCTAAAAAGCCAATCTCATATTAAGGCACATGAATTTACTGAAAATTGCTTATAAATAAGGAATTGTGTTGACAGGTTTTTCCTTTTTCATGTTGCCTTCGGCCTCTTCTTTTTGGTACCTTTTAATTTGGTGAATTATGTTGGTTTCTGCATCTGCTGAGAAGAAACTGATAAGAACAAATAGTATCTATTGAGAAGTTACCTTTTATTCAAATCCTAATGCTGACAGAATAATGCCAATTTATGGGGGTATTTTCCCTATGTCAGTGGGATGTGATAACAAAATGCACAACTAATCCAGGAAGAACTGAAACTCAAAACATTAATGTGTTCCAGAACTTTTTCTCCACCACACGATGTACTTACAATTTAGCCCTTTTTGGTAGGAAGACTGCCAAAAATCATCCATAAGATGTTTGCTAACTAACAAGAGATGTTTGTAGTCTTCACCAAGTTTGTTAACTCCAAAATCTAGTAAGCAATACATTACCTGTGTTTTAAGTTTTAAGTAATTAAGCACGAAAAGTTTTGAGACTTCTACATAGAAATGCTGTATTTGTTTCACCATCAACTGTAATTAACTTCTAATTGTGTTACATCCAAGATAAATAAAATACTCAAAGTTCATCCCACCGCCAGGATTTGCTAAATATCAAAGTTTTGAACTTCAAAATAACCCGGAATTGCCAAAACACATTTAGTTACACTGTGTTAAGTTTTACTAATATCAAAGGAAAACAAAGCACAGGGATCTGGCACTGCTACAAACTTTGCAATTCAATGACATATAAATTTGCTAAAATCCAGTTGGAGCTGTAACTGCAAAAAAGTTACTTGCGAATATCCTCTATTTTAGCTCACAGTACAATCTAAAAATTAAAAGCCCAGAGAAGACCCTACACATTAGAGTTCAAATGCACTAATATACTGTGTGAAACAGAGTAGAAGACTGCGCTCTGCAAGTGATACACTGGCACAGACACCTTTAAACAATGTAATTAAAGAAAACTCACAAAAATGTAAAACCCAAACAAAACAAAAAAAACCCACCCCAAACCAAAACAAAAAACAAAACCCCCAAACAAACAAAAATAAAAGAAAACCAAAACCCAAAGAAACAAGAAAACCCCAACCAAACCCAAACCAAGAGTTAAAAGGATCTGGTATCTTCCTAAACGCATCTGAAGGGCCCCATTTTGAAGGTGGATTACAACATTTCCACGGGCGTCCTGTGAAAGCAGAGCTGAGCACCCGCAGGTTTTCCAGAGAGCAGGACTCACCTCTGCATGCGGTTTTGTCTGCCCTGACTCCAAGGCTCGAGCTGAGAGCTGCCCACTCCAGAACTGCCTCACACGGTCAATGAGCAGATGTTTCTCCAAGGAAGGAGGGACTGGAATTCCTTGTGCTGCCAAATACTTAAAGATTATTTCTCGATAGACCTTCCTGCGTCTCAGAAGTTCTTCCACATTCTGGCTGTAAACCAGAATGGCATGAATGGCTTCTGCAAGCAAAGAAATGGAAGTTAGCAGGTCCTTCTCTCACAGTTAAAACCCAAATTAGACACAGGACACACCTGAAGACTTGCAAACATGTTTGGAAAACAGTGCTGTTTTTACTGAATACTTTTTTGCCTTATAATCTCTAATTCCAGTATCCATGACTGCTTGGAATTTAGTATGTATTATTTAAGATTGATGAAAAGGATGCAACTTTTTCTTCCAAATGGAATCACTAATATTCTTCAAATATTCTTAAGGTGCTTATAAATCTCAAGTGCTTCAAGAAGAGTAACAATTCTTACACACAATGCACTTCTTCTATATTTAACTTCAACATAAGGTCATTTAACATGAAATCATTGAGGGGTTCCTGCTTTATGTCACCACACAGCCCTTTAGCAAAGGTTGATCTTGGTTTCCTTCTCCATTTGAGAAGCTCTGGGATATTTCAAAAGAAGCCACCCCGCTGTCTTCTTGGAAGCAAGATTACATAGCACAAGAAAAACCAGGCTTTTATAGTTCCTCTGAACATGGGATGTGAATCTTACATCCTGCATCAATGGGTAGTTCACAGGATTTGGTCAAAGAACACATTGTTATTCTGAAGAAAATGCAAGTTTTCAAATGTTCCCTGAGAACAGAAAATGGACAGAAATGCAGACAGAGAAGTAACCAAGGTAATCTCTGATTCCTTGTGCAGTTCTTTGAACAAGAGTTCTAGCACCAAAGATCTCAGTCAGTGGCAGAATTCGGAAACACAACAAACTTAAACTCACTTTTAAAGCAGTTGCAGCAGAGAGTTCTCACCTGCACTGAGGCTGGTACTTAACAAGGGACTAATAAAAACCCTAAATCTAAACAAGAAGAAACTAATAGCTAAAGTTAAAAAAAAAATTCTTGTAAGGTAGCCTACAACCATTGGGAAAACTAGACAAAAAGGCAAGGAACAAGCCCACAGGCAAAAGACCTTTTAAAGAAAAAGGTTTGGCAAATCTTACATGTCTCAGTTATATCACATGAAACAAACTCAAGGTTTTGGGATTACTATATTTCAGAGCAACATATTGAGAGAGTTAGGCTTAAAAAACTTAACCTAATAAAAATAATAATATAATAAAATAACCCTAATAAAATAATAAAACAACTCTTATAAAAAATTAACAGTTATGAAACAAATCTTAGCAAAGCCACGGAGGGTGGTCACAACCGGGAGTGTTCTGTTCTGGGAAGAGCTAAGTTCAGTGTTAGATTTGTGTTTTACCCTTTCAAAACCTGAAAGCAAATGTCATTAACACCAATAGCGAGAGACTCCTGAGCTTTAAATACGTTCTGAAGGGGCACAGCAGGAGCTGCCTGGAGGAGTGAGGGGGTCTAAGGGAGGAAAAAGAAGCGCTAGAAAGCTGAAAAATCTCCTAGTTTAGGGGTTTAGAGATGTAACAAGAACTGACAGTATTTACAACAAAAACCCCACAGAGCCAAGTGATTTAAAGAAGCACCGGGGAGAGGAACTGAGGTAGCCAGCGAGGCAACACCCAGGTACTTTTTAACTTGTCCTGAAGGAGTTTACAAAGTGGTCACTTAGAACCTGGGGGTGGATTCAGACAGAGAAGACACCGAAGACCACCAAGACCCTCAAGACACCGTTATAAGGACATGCATATATGCTAATAAGTGTTGGGAACGGTCCTGAATACGTAACAGGGAGGCGGGGAAGGAAGAATGAATAACCATGCGATGCTGACATATACCCTGCAGTGAAATCCCTGCGGAGAAACGACTCGCGGGGCACCCACCCGGCTGTGCTGCTGTGACCGTGCAGCGCGGCCTGATAAAATCATCGATTTCTAAAACTTACAAATGGAGTGTTTAAAAGTTAAAAGTTTCCTTTAAGCGCCGCTTTTAGGGCAACACCAGCAGCCACCGCGAGTTCCTCGGCCTGAACGACTCCCAGACCCTCAGCAGCCCAACCCCGGCTCCCAGTGGCGACCCCCGAGCAGACACAGCCCCGCCGCCCGGGCAGGGTGCCCGGAACCCCCCGGGCATCCCCACAACGCGGGCCGAGCCTGGGCCCGGGGCAGAGCCCGGCAGGCGGTACACGCTGTGCCCGGAGCCCCCCGCGCACCTTGCCGGCTCTCCGGGTGCACCATGCGGCTGGTGACGGTGTCGGTGAGCGCCATGAGCTCCTCGGTGCTCAGCAGCTCCAGCAGGGCCCGGCAGCCCGCCCGCTCCCGCTCGCTCAGCCCCGGGCCCGCCATGGCCGCCGCGGCAGCGCCGCCCCGGTGCGACCGCGGGCGCCGGGTGGAAATGGCGGCGGGCGCCGAGGTTCCGTGTTGGAGCCTCTGGGCTCCTCATGGCAACCTGAGGAACCTGAGGGGGCTGTGGCCGCCCCCCCAGCCCGTTATATACGTTATGTCTTGTGTGTGTGTGAAGGGTTTGTAATGAAAGAGCTCTGTAATTAACCGCCCTCCCCTCCCGCCAGCTGGGCGGGGGAGGGCATTGTCCCGCTCTGCTCTGACCTGGGGAGGCCTCACCTGCGATATTGGGGCGTTTTGGAGCACAGCGATACATAAGGAAGATATGGAGCTATCATAGTGTCCAAAGGAGGGCAGTGAAGATGGGGAAGGGGAAGCCAGATGAGGGGTGGCTGGGGGCTCTTGGTCTGTTCAGCCTCCTCATGGCACCCACATGAGGGAACAGAGGGGCAGATATTGTTCTCTTTGCTCTCGTGACCAGGGACAGGACCCAAGGAAATTGCTTTGTGAAGCTTTATCAGGGGAGGTTTAGGTTGGATATTGGGAAAAGGTTTTTCACCCAGAGGTTGGCACTGAACAGGCTCCCCAGGGCAGTGGGCACAGCACCAAGGCTGACAGAGCTCAGGGAGCGTTTGGACAACACTCTCAGGCATGTGGTGTGACCCTCGGGGTGGTCCAGGAGTTGGACTTGATGATCCTTGTGGGTCCCTTCCAACTCAGGATGTTCTGTGATGTTATTCTATGATTTCTAGTTTTACTCCCCTCGCCCCTCTGGCCAGTGGGACATTGCCAGGAAGCATCCTTCTGACCCTGGGCGCTGGCTCGGGGCACACGAACATGGCCCCTCCTCGCAAGCGAAGAGGAACAGAAAGCGAACCTCCCACAAGTGTTTACTTTAATGACAGTTTCCCATCGTTGATGCAGAGCCCACACACCCAGTCTTGTCAGGGTGTGCCTGGAGTTGGAGGACTCCTACAAACAAGGCTTCCAGCAGGATCCAGCTGTGTGCCAGATACTCGGGAATGGCTCAGTGTGCCTGCTGTGGTCCAGGCAGATGCTCGTGGTGGAAACAGCCTTTGGAAGTCAACTGAGAAGCTTCAAGCTTCTATGGTGGTCGCTGGACCAACTCGGTTTTGAATATCTGACATGCAGCCCCTGTGGCATCGAGCAAATCATCCACTTGTGACTGAGGGAGCTGTGGGACCCCTTAAGAACTCATGCCAAGCAAGAGATACACATCCCCAGGAGTGAGAAATCTGACAGCACAGCACATGCCTAATGAAGTTCTATAAGTCAAAGGTGCTTTTTTTTTACCACATGCAAGGCCTCAGCCTTGTGCTGCTCCTCTACTTGGCAGTATTTTCTCTGCCAGGGGCAGAAAAACCAGTAATGGTCATTTTATGAGTGAGAGAAAGAAAAGGAAAATGAGGAAAGATGAACAAAAAAAGGGGAAAGAAGGCAGCAGGAGCTTCAGTTGAGCTATGTGCCAAGAAAAATTAAGGGGCAACGAGTGCTTGACATTGGTGTGGCAGAAAAAGGAGCCCTCTCATTAACCCCATGTTTTAATATGGGTGTGTAAGGAAGGCACATTTTGGTGCCAAAGCTGCCTGTAATTTCAAAACCAGGAAGACTTACTGTATTCCGTAAAGACACACAGACCTGCAGATTCAAGTTATTGCACATTGCAGATGATGTTATTGCACAAACCACCGAACTCATCACTGTGGTGGGCTCTGTTCAGATCTGTAGCAACAAATGCCTGCCCTCAAGATCATGTAAACCTAAGACAGAACACTTACACATTCCTACCCCCCATACTACCCATATGCTTTACATGCTTGTGTCCTCTTTGAGATCTAAAAACAGTCCCTGCAGATCTTCAGGTTCATCAGAAGGAAAACCAACACACATCCAGCTTGAGGAACAGCTGCTCTCTTGAGCTGGAGCAATGAATTCCAAATAAACCAGAAACAGCTGACCCAATTTTGCCCATGAATTGCAAGTCCAACATTCAGATAAAAACTGAGTCCTAAAGCATCTGGAAAGACTGAACATAATAATGCTTATTGTCTGCTGGGCCAAATTTTATTCCATACATCCAGTGACTTGCACGCTCTTCATGTACAAGACAGACCTCCCACTACAACATGTAGTGCATCATTCTACTTATCTGTGGAGTTTACAGAGCAAAATCCTCAAAAATGGGACTACCTACGTGTCACCATGTTAATTGAGCTGTTGAAATTCTGAATTTATTAATCTCAATCCTGCAAATTAAAAATTAGAAAATGCATCTGAAAAATATAAATTCATTTTGCTCGTATTTCAACAAACCTTTCTAGATTTGCAGCCTTCAAGGGAATAATATCTTGTTTTAAATCAAGGCCAGCCCTTTCAGCAGGATTATACATGCACCTTGCAAGTGCCTCCCTTTGGAGGTGGTGTTGGGAGAAAGGGAATTATTTCAGAAGTAGGTGTTGTGTTTTTTTTTTTTTTTCCTTTCTCACAACTTGGAATTTCCTACAGTTTTTATACAAACTTCTAATTGACTTGAGCATTGAGCAAGAATTTAAACTAGCATTCCTAAAGGGGAAGAAACAGGAAAATTATTAGCCTACATGAACCTAAAGGTGAATAGAATTCTTGGAATATTAAACTGCTGTCTTAATTCAAGGAGCCGTTACAAGGGATCCTCTTGACCCACCAGATTTTTTTTACATTTTCTCTCTCCTGTTCAGTTGAGCAAGTGGATGATAGAGCAGCTTTGGTGTCCAGTCATGGTCAAATCACCACAATTCCTTCAAACACTAAGCAAAATAAATAAGAAATTACAATACAAGCAAACACATAATACATTTTAGTGCCATCTGTAGAAGCAGCTGTTTTGTAGGTGGGCAGAGTCATAAACTATATCAATGTAAAGGATATTTGCATACTTAAAATTACACTGGCCACTGCATTAACTGACTCTACCACTGCAATCCTACACTAAATTTTTCAGAAAGTTAGCTTACAATAATAATGTTGGTTATGCTGAGAGCCAAAGGTGACAGGTATGGCCCGAAATACATAAATAATAAATAAATACTGTCAAAATAGACAACAGCAGGTGGTAACCATATGATGGACATTCAGTTTCACTGTACCTCCCACTCAACTACATTTCATAACCTTTATACCTATTTATATAAATATACTTACAAATTGATATTTATGTATTTTATACCTGTCATAATTGATGGTTATTTTTTCCTACATAATTCTAAAAATAGTTCCCAATGATCTTTTCATCAACATACAAAATTCAGTATGTACAAAGTTACCTGCATACTCAAGAACCTCAAAGTTGGCCTTTGTCTTAAACTTAATAATAATAATGGCCAGTCTTCGCGAGCAAAGATTTGGGAAAGGTCATTGACCCTTCGAGCCTGCGCAGTGGATTTTTTAGGTGAGACACAGCGTGCGCTGAACTGAGCCCACCCTTTAATCCTGAGGTTCATCTGCCGGGGCCGAGCAAGCTTGGACAGTGGCAGTGAGGGTCTCAGAACGTAGGTTTGTTTAGAGTGACCTTCTCTTAGATGGATTGCCTCACAGGGCTAACGAGCTCCATCTGCCCGGGGGGCCGGGAATCGAACCCGGGTCGCAGCGGTGAGAGTCCTGCACCCTAACCACTAGACCACCAGAGGCCCCTGTCTTAAACTTACTTAGACTATTTTAAGCCCCCTTGAGCACCCCTTTGGTCTTTTGAGGTCTACCTAGTTCTTAGGTGCTTCCTTGATCCAGGCACCTCAACCTCCCCTTGGGCTCAAAGCTCAATATTTAGTCCTCACAATCCAGCTGTGTAACACGAAACTCAAAGAACATTAAGAATTTACAGGACTGTGAGTAATAATTCTAAATAAACCAATATTTTCAGATTAAAGTATTGAACTCCCAGAAGCAAAATCAAAAAAAAGGCAACTACACTGTCTTTGTCTCTGGACTACACCATTCAATCAAGGGGACCAAACAAAGCAGAGAAAAACAATTGTATCACACCAGAGGCTACTATCTCTCTTGGCAGCATTATCAGAGACAAACATAGGTTCATGAAGTGCAAAAACCGAGGCTCAGCTCCATATATCAGTGCCTTCCCAAGAGGTTTAGGGCAGCATTTTGTACTTGTAATATAAGGTCGCTGAAGAACTTGAACAATTTTATGATGAAGACAATTAACCAGAAGCAGAGGGATCTTAAAACAGCTGCATCCAGACTTGTCTGTGGTCCTGTTTGGGTTTTGAGCCCCAGGAAACCACTTCAGCAGTTAAATGCCCCCTCCACACCCCTATTTTGAAGGTTAGTTTATTCAAATGCAAATATCCACACCTCTGGAACATCAAGACGTGGCCGGCAACTCTCCCATACCAAACACAACACAACAGCTATGAAGGTCGCAGCAGCATTTTCAGAGGCATTCTCCAAAAGACAAGATCAATTTCTATCAACAACAAAGACAATGTTTTATTGAACAAATCTATGTACAGTACAAAAAGGTTTTTAAAATGAAACACTACTGTAGATTTATTGCAGTTTGATGGCTCAGTTTTAATTTGTACTCTTATATAAAATGCAAAGTAAAATAATTTAACATTCAACAAGGAAGCACAAATTTCCTTTCTTGCTGAACCTGTAACATCTTTTACAAATTAAGAGTCCCAAAATGCATACACTGCATTTAATCAGAAAGGTGTTATACAGTACCAAATAAATTAAGAAAATAGTAACACTACCACCCTCTTTGGGTCTTTTGTCCATAGCACTGGTGTTAAACAATAAAAGAAATGAGTACAGCTGAACCTTCAATGTGATATTAAAATCACAAAGTTTAATGTTATAAATTATCCAAACTATACAATTCATATAATTTTAATGAATATGGCTAAATAACCAAAGTACCAGTGACCTTTCCCCACAGATATCACCACTTTCAACCTACTTTCAGTATTCCTTTTTTTTTGTGAAAGGTGCCCACCAAACGGCAACTCTTTGAAGTTAGAACTTCCATGACCTTTACATTGAAACATGATCAGGTTAGAGAAGAGTCTTAAAAGGAAAGTCCAAATCCAAGTTACAGCCAACTGGAGGAATGTTATTGGAACACAATTATCCACAACAAACTTTGATCCAACAAAGCTCCCAGGCTCATGTGTAACTTCAGGCAGTTTTAAGGGAGTTGCAGGCTTACATTACACATGGATTTTAGTATTTATTGAATCAAAGTGATACATCTTGAAGGATTTCCAATTATATCATACAATGCTTCTTAATGCTTGGGAAAAAAACAACTTTCAGATTTGTAGCCTTTTTCAGCCCTAGAAGTTGCAGGCTTAGTACAGGGTAATACTCAACGTACTAAAGAATCCTTAAAAAGCATGGAGAATTATCCCACACACATTACACAAGTACCCTT